TATATATATATATATATATATATATATATATATATATTCAAATGATTTATATAAATATGAAACAAGCATTACCGAAAGACAGTTTAGAGACAAGTTAATGAAGCCTGGATTGAAAGAGGAATTGGGAAATTCATAATTACCCAGAAGAAGAACCGAAACCACTATACGGTATATAATATTTTCTCTAATTTATTTACTTTTATTTTCCTGTCGTCTGTGTGGTGTGTTATTCTTTCCTCGTTCGTTTTGTTAGTTTCTATTGCTCTTCTTATGTTTTCATCAAGGGTCGATGCTTTATCATGCACAAGTAACTTTTTTGAAAGTTCCATGTAAACATTACTCCGGCATTATGACGCCCAACAACAGATGGCGCCACATCATAGCAGCTCACGACCATACTGTATACAAACAACATTACATCAGTTATACTGAAGAGAGAAGAAATATTTTTGTAGCGATTACACAGTACATCGTGCTTTATATTATTGGGCGCTTATACAAGATATTTCTGTAACCACAATATATTTTAGCATAACATTTTTTGGTATGAAAATACCGGTACCTCTTCAGAGATCCTGTCATGTCGTTTAAAATGTTTAAGAAGAATCCGTTTCACGTGAGTGCGTCGAATACTAGTGAAGTGATATGTTCTTACTTTGAATAAAATTTCCCTCGAATATCACCTACCCCCTCCTTCAGAGCCTCATATGGAATAAACTCCCCCTCCCCTCTTCTTTTTCATAAAATAATAATAATTTAATAATTTTCAGAAATCGGTGAGAATAAACTTTTCAGCACCCAAGCAAATCGTACCACTGAACCATGTTAACGTGATCTTTCAATTCTTTAGCATAGTGTCTACTGCCTCACAAGAGGGCACTAAACACAAAACGTATGTCTTTGGAGATCCTGTTTTTTTGTCAGAAGGCGTATTATATCAATCTCAGGCTGCTTCGCGTGTGCGTATCTAGGAGACTTGAAACGGGGGAAGGAACGGCGTGCGATACCCCCTCTCCACCACAGCTTCCCCTAGATACTCATATATAGTGTGAACTCAAGTTCCTCTAATTAGATTCGAATTTTCAACGAAAACTCCAGTGACCCAGTTGGTTAAGGCATATAAAGCAGGTCGGAGGCCCAGATTCGAATCTCGGTTGGGAAATTTTTTTATACTCTCTGGGATTATCTCTTAACGTGTAAACCTAATATTTTCTTACCCGTAGCCGCACGCCTCATTTGCATACCTACAACTGATAACACTGATAGAGTCATTAGCATGACTAAGTGTAAATTCTATTAATAATGATTCGTTATGGCAATATAAAATACCGTAATGACTGTAGAGCTACTTAAAAATATTACTGGTTTCGTTAGCAAAACCACTGTGACAATCACGCCGTCGGTGGTTCAGGTAACAAATATTCACATTGAGAGTTTGATGTGAGAGAGAGAGAGGGGGGGG